CAAATACAATTTGTATAGAATTTACTATTTAGTAACCTTAATATTTTGAATCTTTATTAAATATACATTTACAATAAGTATTTATTCAAAACCAACAATCATAATAAGATATCTTAACACAAACAGTCGTAACTATGTTAGGCTAAGTAGATATAATAATTAACTGACGGATACCTACAATGTGAATATAAGGAATATATTCTATGTATATTTAGAAACCTTAAATGGCTTAAATACACTTAAACTATTGTTGGTTTTTATTACTGCAGTACACCTGTTTAACCATAATTTTCAAAAATCATACTTTAAGTTGATTTGTTGAGTAGAACTTATACGCTATGAGCTGTCCTGCTTATAAATTTATAATCGTTGTAATAATAGAGTACTATATATCTCAACCATCGCTTGTAGAGTAAAGAAAATATGCACACCTGTTTGATACACAATAGTTAGTGGAAAATATTGCTGGAGTAGACAAATTAAATTGAAAGGCTGAACGTGTACTGTAAAATTAATAAAGAATACAAATTAATGCGTGTTTCTAATTATTTTGTATGAAATTCTGTTGCAGGTGTCTGGAAAAGACATTTACTTAGAAACCTTGAAATTTCCAAAAATTAAACCGCATGGAAACCACGTTTGCATACAGACCCTTGAAAGATCACGACCACAATCACCGCTGCGACGGTGATCGTTGTCTGGCCGTGAAGAACGCTTCGCCGAGAAGTAGCCGCATGAGGAGAATCGGAGCGAGAAAGCGCAGAAGTAAACAACGCGAGTTAACGGAATGGCTGATAACGTCGTCGACGACACGGCCGAGCAAACGGAAGCCGAGCACATCGCATTGAAAAACGCGAACGGTTGCATCCAAGAAAAAACCAGTGATCTCCTTAGACGCGTTAAKTATAATGATGGCGAGCAGTCGGATGACAACAAGGGTCGTTACAAACCTTCCGAATCGCGGGACAGCGGCGACAACGACAGTACTAGGAGTAGCAATCGTAGTAACGATAAGAGTAATAATAAAATAACTGTAGAAAATAGGAACCAYGTTACGTTCTACAAGAACGACGAACCGACGGACGACGATAGCAGCAGCAGCGGCAGAGGTGGCTGTTCCAGACATCAACACCGCGCACACGATTCGTATGCTTCGTACACGCCGACGACCACGGCCACCGATTCGGACGAGTCGTCATCGTCGTCGTCGTCGTCGGAGCTACACAATCAGGCCCCGGACGGYGGCTGGGGATGGGTGGTCGTGTTCGCTTCGTTCATGGTGAACATGATCGCGGACGGCGTGACGTTTTCGTTCGGCGTCATATTCATCGAGTTTGAAAAGTACTTCGAAGAGGGCAAGAGCAAGACGGCCTGGATCGGGTCGCTGTTCATGGCCGTGCCCCTGCTGTCCGGGCCAATAGCCAGCTTTCTGACCGACCGGTACGGATGCCAGAAGGTGACCGTCATCGGAGCTATAATCGCGTCCACCGGGTTCGTCATATCCGCGTTCGCCGACTCGCTGTTCACGCTGTTCATAACGTTTGGACTCATATCTGGGTTCGGGCTGTCACTGTGCTACGTGGCGGCCGTCGTCATCGTCGCGTACTACTTTGACAAGAAACGATCAATGGCCACCGGGTTGTCCGTGTGCGGCAGCGGCATTGGCACGTTCATCTTCGCGCCGCTCAACCATGAGCTACTCAGTTATTACGGATGGCGCGGTTGCACGCTCATCTTGGCCGGGCTGTTCCTCAACCTTTGCGTGTTTGGCATGTTGATGCGTGACCTTCCGTGGACCAAAGAGCGGGCCCAGAACGAGTGGAAGCGGAAAAAGAACGCTCGGCTCCAGAAGCGACGGCTCAAGTCCACCGCCAGCTACGACCGGCATTCCCAGCACACGCAACTACCGTCGTCCCCGACTTCCGGTTGCGGCGCCGGCAAGGACGAGGCGGCGGATTCGACTCATCCTGGTGGTGGTGGTGGTGGTGTTGTCGTATCGTTTCTCCAAGAAGAAGACGGTGGCGGCGGTATTGCTGCGCAATCGGGTGGCAGGGGTGTCCTGCTCGACTGCATTGTCAAAGACCAGCGGCTATGCAACTCCCTGGTCGATTTGCCCACGTTTGTCAATAATCACGAGAACGTTCCGCTGGAGGTGCTCGAGGCGCTCACGCAGAAAAAGCAACTCTACTCCGTGCTTGTACAAAACTACCCGAGTCTACTGATACCTTCCAAAAGTTTCAGCGACAGCGGACGCATCAACGAATCTGTAAATATTGCGCACGCGCTTTGTTAGCTTTCTATTTTGTCATAATAGTATATCCCTATAAGGACCATTCCGTGATGGTTAATATATATATATATATTTTTTTTTAAAGGGTAATATGTCACCGACGACTCATAGCTTACACGTCAATCAAATCCTCGGTATTCAAAAGTTATTAGATCAAGAAAATAAAACGGATGCCGCCAATAGTAAATCTAATCAAGTTGGCATAATGAAAATKAAAAACGGTGCTAATATCATTTTAAAAAACGGCGAATACGATTGGTGGATAAAAAAAGATAACCCACAAGTTAAACGTCTTCAAACTGCATATCTTCAAGATATTAAGATTCATAGGTAAGTTGTTTTTAACTTATTATTATCAACCATCCAAGATTGATTTTGTTGACAACCAAAACATTTTTATTACAGGCATTCGTTAACATATAGAGGGGCCATGCTCAATATAAACAGATACAGACTAAGAGCATCGTCTTGTCCAAATATTTACCGTAACTCGATGACGACAATCGCCAAAGAAAAACATGAAGTATTTATAACAAATAATCTTACAATGCTTAAATAATTTATAATGTGTTAATATCATTAATTTTTATTAAATTTGATTAATAGTGGTCAGCTGGACTTTGGGAATTGTGGTACCTACTACTTGATATGATGGATTTTTCACACTTCAAAAACATGCCTTTCCTATTGTTTGCTATATCAAATTTCCTCCTGTATACATGGTATGATGTACCATATGTTTACATTGCCGACTTAGCTATAAAGAAAGGACACACCGATGAAGATGCATCATACCTAATCAGCTTGATAGGAATACTTAATATGTTTGGAGAGGTAAATTCAATTACTAAAACAACTTAAATTCATTTTATAAAATTGTTTTTTTGTTTTAGATATTGTTAGGCTGGGCTGGTGATAAAGCTTGGGTTAACGCCAACATGGTATATGCAGTTTCAATGGTACTCTGTGGTCTCGTTATTGCATTAGTTCCTTTATTTGGAAGTTATTTAAGTTTGGGTATTTTATCTGGATTCTTTGGCCTATTTATTTCCGCAAACTATTCATTCACCTCAATCATATTAGTTGAAATCATCTCCTTAGAACGATTCACTAATGCTTATGGTGTTCTATTATTGGTACAAGGAATCGCAAATTTGATAGGACCCCCTTTAGCTGGTTAGTTCAATATAAACAGGTTTTGATTTTTATAGATTATAATACAACATGCAACTAAATATTTATGTATTTTGTTCCAGGTGGTCTATTTGATATAACAGAAAGTTATGACTTATCTTTTTATCTAGCTGGATTATTCATTGCATTGTCAGGGTTGTTATTATTTGTTCATCCAATAATAAAAAAAATGGCAAGGTATAGAAGGAAGCAAACACTATTGAAAAGTCACAAAAATAAGATAATAAGCATAGCCTCAAATCGCAAAAAGTAATTTTATTATTTTAAATTTGTTTAAATATTTATTTTGTAGAATTTTTTACATACAAATATCATTTTTTAGGATCATCATACTAGGACTATTTGTAGTATATCCAACTTAATAATATTCTATAGTATCTAGGCACTTTATTGTGATAAAAGTTAGTCCTAACAATGATTCATTATGAGTGCTTGCGCTCCTTTTATCTTTTAGTAATAAATTTGTCCAAATTTAGATTTTTTTAACTTTTTGAATTCTTAGAGAATATATTTTCAGATATTAACATATTTTTTATCCAATTTAAATGAGAATTACTTACCAAGGAACGTTAAAATATATTGACTTTCCATTATTATATTTGTAGTAATATCTATTTTTTTTTTTACAAGATTAGTTAATTCTTTTAAAATGAAAGTATTATATAAATTGATATGATAGGTTAAGTAACAAGTATCAATGTAAAAAAAAATATATTTTTATAATTTATAATTTTTGTTATTATTTAGATGTGCARCAACTGAAGAAAATGTGATATTTACACCTAAAAGACGTTCAAGTTTGGCAACAAGTGTCTAAATACTGACTATTACTTATTAACAAGTTAAAATCTCTACAATGATGCGTTTATATGCTAATTGGATTTGACTTATCATTTTTTAAATGTATTAACATTTTATTTTATCATTACAGTGTCATACATAATATTTTATTTATTATTTGATACTCCTATTTTTGTCTTTTATAATTGTTTGTTCATAAAACAATAAAACAATTTTCATTAATTTTCAATTTAGAACAAATATTTTAACAATGAATCTAGTAAATGGTTTTCAGTTAGCAATTCTTAATGTCTTATTCAAATTTTTAATTGACTGTAGGTTTAATAGTTATCTGCTAAAGTATATGTCTTCTTATAAGTATTAAATAATCTGAAAAGCACAGAAGTTCATAGTTGTAGAATTATTAAATAGTATTCAATGTATACGTGTCTTTTGATAAGTTTTTAATTGTTATAATCATATCTACAGCATTTTGATTTTTATTACAGTGTAGTTGTATACTCATCGAACAAAGTCTATGTCCACTAATTTATTTCTATTTTATAGACTACTTGCAAATTTATTATCAGATATTTTAATATAATAATGAATTTGCTCAGTTTCCAAATCAATTTCAATATTTATTTCCAGTTATGCAATAATTTTTATTTGTAAAATTGATGTTACTTGTGATCATATTTATTTATTATGATATTCTGATACATACATTATTAATATCTATATTCATATAATATTATTTATGTAAAAATAAATAAAAATAACATTCATATATTTGAAATTTTGAAATTTTGTAATATAATTTTGAATTTTCACATAATATSCAATTACAGTTTTTCTTAATATTACAAGTACTGTTAAAACTAAAATACAAGGATTGTATGAGTTATACTAAAAAAATMATTTTTTTAAAGACTGCTATTTAGATTTATTATTGTGATTTTAATGGCATTAAGCATATTTTTTTTTAGAAGCAAAGTAAAATAAATTAATTTTTTTTATAATCAGTTCAATTGAATTTAATTGTTCACTCAAAACTGTGACTGATATAGTTCTTTTTTATTTATTATATAATAATATTATTATTTGTTTGCAAATTGTTAATCACTTTGTTTATGTTAAAATTCTTTAACTATGTTTCTAATTGAATTACATTTTATTATTTACACATCATTTTTTTCAATTTGTTATCCTTTGATTGTTATCTTTTCTWGTTGTATTGTTTGCAGAGATCCTTGATAGAGACCCTTTGGATTTTAAATCTTCTCTGGTGACTTCAGTTCTTGAAAAACACTTGATAAACAATATTCATACTTATATGTTCGTTTTTCAAACATTAGTTAAGCCTGYGTTACTAGGTGTACTAGTCATACCATTTTTTTTTAAATACAAAATGGATTCAGGAGTGGTGGCATCTATTACGTTTCAATTTAGAGCAAAAAATTATTAACCTTTATATGAAGCATTAAAAGAACGAAGTAATTTATTTGAATGCATTAACGAATGTTGGTAAAGTTAATTAATTTTTATTCACTATAAAACGAAAACAATCTTATRCATTTATAAATAATATACTTACGACATTTCTGAATGTCCCAAAAACTGTATTGCCTGCAGCCACGAACTTACTACGTATAATTTTGACGCCTTGACGGTGAAGCATACCTATATGTTACGGCTCGGGTATGGAAAAAAGTCCTTTACGCGCGAACTTCGTTTCTGTTACCGATTTGATAACAAAAMATTTTACTTCATCGGCAGCTTTGAGCGTGAGAGTACACCGAGTCAAATACCCGATGTAATACGATTAGCATATCTTTACGGTCATTGGAATAAAACCATTTAGATGCAGTATAGTGACGAACGGTGTGAATATCGGATATTCGGATGATCGTCACGCTAACGCCACAAATTTCCAAATTCGCAACGGGTTCGGTGCACTATCCCATCGGAACTTTGATCGTGTTTTCGTTATACTGTTCACTTATTTGGCCAATCCTAGAATATGGCTCTGATACCGCATATAATACAATAATGATTGAATWACATATTATAACAATTTATCAATGGTTATGGGACCACGTCAAAARTACAATTAAAAAATACTTATTTATTTATTAAAAAAAAAAAATATACATTCAAACATTAAGCGCCCATAGTCCATACTGGAAATATTTGCATGTGGGGACTTGTGATAACATCCATAGCAAAACTTAAATAAAAACACTACATAACATAATATAGTATGTTTAATTTTTACTAATTAAGTATATGGTATATACGTTATATGTATAGTCGTATATAGGTATATTATGAAACAGACTTAATGAGCTTTTACTGGTGTATAGTATGTATACTACGTATAGGTATTAAGGTATTGCAGTGAAGTTATATGTAGATGCATGATAGATACTTATTTAGGTAATTAAACGCACTATTAATTGCAAGGTCAATGGCGCAATATATCCATATAAACTCATATTTAAATCTATCYCTTTTGCCAATTGTATAAACAATCATATTAAATTCACTTTAACGTATTTACAGTTATATAAACGTAATACATATCTACTCTTAGTCCCACTATTAATCTACGTTGTGATCACTTTTGGCACTTGTAAATTGTAATAGTCTGCAGTTTGTTGATTTATATTCGCACTTCAAGGGCATAACTATTATCTTGCTTAATGGACCTAGACACCTAGCATAAAATTATATTAAGATAAGTTATCATCATTCAGAGTTTGGGTGACAGTCTACAAAATACTTTTAGAATTCAAGACCATGTGAATCGCATCATACTAATCATTATACAGATCAATTATCAAACAATTATAATTTAATTTAATTTAAAAATAGTAAATATTTAAGAGCACAAATTTTTGTTTTTTGAGTATTGAGTAGTTTTTAAAGAGAGACCTTTTAATATTAGCTATTTTTTATAAATGCGTGGTTGCTGTAACAGCTGGAATGSATAATATATAATAAATAGAAAAGATTCACAAGAAAGAGTACATATCGATAAAATATCAACTTTGTAATTTATACAATTTTTTTGTTTCATCGTTAATATTACCCTTTTTAACCGTATATTAATCAATACATTATCATACACATTATTAATACATATCTATACATTATTTTGAATGCTTGCAATATGATATTAATTTATATTTTATAGCAAATTATGTAGATGTAACCTACAGCGTAAATCGCTGYATGATATGATAATAAAATAAAACAATAATATTCTCAAACAGTTTGATTGTTACAATTGTTCATCGGCTACAAATCCTGAATTGTGGGTTCCGTTTTCCGTAGTCTTTGTCGGCGATTTTCTGCAACAGAAAAATCATTTTCAACACATACCATTAAGTACCTATACAGGGTGATTGGTGATTCATCAAGCATGATCATACCAAATTTTCTTTTAATAATGAATTCATCAAAATTATGATCTTTGGAATTTTTAAATATACTTAAAGACCTTAACACACGATTTTTTGAATTACTCAAGGAGTGTCCTGTGACAATAATATAGACTTAGATTTTTCAAACGAGAAGCTCCCCTTTTTTAATTTAAATTATTTAGTAGATAATTATTTTTTAAATTTGTATGCGTCTAATTCAAAATTCGATATTGTAATTTTTGAATCAAGTATTAAAATGTTTGCACTAAGATTAATATTCTTAAAAATGGTTTTACAAAAAAATAAAGTAGACGTTATATTAGAACTTGTATTTATTATACTTGGGCCATTTTTATAAATTCTTTATGTTGATAGAAATAACTAAAACATTCATATCACAGCGTCCTCATATTATTTTCTTCCTTCAAATTGTTGTGATTTATATAAGGAAAAAAAATRAAAGTAGGTACCTACTCTGTAAAATCATGTATGAAATGAATGTTATCATATATTCCGAGGAAATCAGTCAAACTATACTTTGTAATTTATGTGRTAATAATCTATAATGTATGAAGTTCTGCCTCCCCACCCCCTCCCTCTCCCCCTTCGAATTTAGCGCTAGTAGTTTATGAGTTATAGGTATTTAAAGTTTAGATTAGCAGAGTGGGTTACCCCGCAAAATGTTTGTCCACTACGCTCCGCTTGTCTAAACTTTAAATACTTATAACTGATAAACTACTCGTCCTAAATTCGATTTTTATGTATCAACATTTTTAGAAAAATATTCTACTTTGGAATATGAAATTAAAAAACTATGTTGCCATTCAAAAAAGTAAAAAAACTTAAAAAATGATAAGGATAAAAAAATATTTAAAAATATAATTTTTTAATAAAAGCGTTGGGTTTTCAACAACTTGAAACTATGTAAAAAAATATTTTGAAAAAGTCAATACTTTTTTGAATAATGAGTATTGTTTGATAAAAGAATCAGCCTGTATGTTACTAATTAAACCTAACCTAACCACTTCCTCGCAGTAAGTTAGTCTGAACATGGATATAATAATAATAATAATATATGTTTAAATGATACATACATTCCTTTGAGTCCAAAACGTTCTCCGTCTTCAATGGTCACCGGTAATTGAGCTCCTCTCGTTTCCGGCAACAATAGACACAGAAGAGCGCCAATTAATGGCACAGTGCCGAATATCATCGGCGGTAAGTACACGTTAAACACTCCCTACAAAACGACAAYACCGCGAATTGCGCGTTAGGTATTTTATTATAGTGTGACAATATAACATTATATTTATAATAATTAATAATAGCCGTAATAATCCACTGCTAATCCACCAGATCTCGGTGGTTCATGCATGTGATGTGGAATTTGATTTCCTTGTTTTCGATCAACCTATACTATTACATACAGTTTGATCGTTTGATTCGTATAAAATGTAGGTCAATACTTTTACGGATAATGTGGTTACGTTAAACAGTTTATCAACTATTATCTTAATAGTTTAATCGCTTCTTTACTGAAGAATATAAAGTATCCCTATACCTGTGTTCAGTCTGTAATTATATTATCAGAGTTGAGATTTATCTAAATGAAAACTTCAGTTATCCATGTTAAATTTATCTAGATACATTTTTACGTAGGTATAAGTAAAATTATTTTATATTATAGTATATTAGTATATATATTTTTACATTTTGTGTTCAAAAACCATCATAATGTAATGTAACAGAAGGTACCCATATAGTATAAATTTAAAGCAGTCAAAAATTATAAAATATATCTATAGTCAGTAGGTACCTAGACAATAATAATATTGTTTGCTGATGAGTGATTTCAATATTTATTAATTTAATTTACCTGCAAGTTATTACTTCTGACTTCATGAGTTATGAATTCTGACATGAGTTATTTCTAATCGGCTGTGATGGTAGAAAAACTCGACGATTTATATAATTATTGATAAATATTGTTATAAATTTATAATAATGATGTCGTATTTCTATGATAGTGTTTTCTGTTTAATGTTAATCTATATAACATGCATTTATTACTGCCTTAAGTAAAAAGCATTTATATCCTGTGGAATTGCCCATGAAAATATACGTTCTGGTTAAGTACAAAGTCTGTACTATTGCAGTTTTATACATAATCATATACTCATATATATGTATAATAAATTATATAATATACATGTTACAGAAAAATATGACAGAATTTCATATCTTTGATATATTTTCATATGTTTCATTTGTCATATAGGTAGGTACTTCTGTTACACTCTGTATATGAATAATATAATGCACCTCTAATATCAGTCAAAATTGTATTGATATGTACTACTATAATATACATTACACTATTACAACAGTAAACATAATAATATTATAAATATCAGAGATTTAATTTTAGAATCAAATTGTTAGAAATTTAAAACACTATGGGTATGTTACAGTTTATTAAAACTCCAACGTGAATAGTAACTCATTGTCATTTGTCGTTCTATTGTGTTCTTGGCTGGTGATATTTAAAATATTTAAGTATAAATTGGTTTTTGGGTGGAACATTTGAATGATTCTTAAAAAATCCTAAAGTGTATCATCGGCATTTGATTTAGCTGAAATGGCAGTAAATGAAACTGGTTATTTTGATGAAGCTATGTGCACCACTGACAGAAACTAATGATTTTGATTGAATAAATGAATAAAACATAATACAATTAATCTGATARTTATTTATTGTACGGTAAATTTTATGATACTGTGTCAAACATCGGAACAAAACTAATTGTWATGTGTACCTTCTCACTTCTGTACTCAAAAACSATAAAAGGCCATTATTTTGAGAAAAAATTTAATATTTACTGGTAGATCAAATGTTGTGTATTCATTTAAATTTATCTTAATAAAACTATTTTTACTTAATTTTAGACAATGTTTATGTTATTTATTTATGAGTCGAATCCTGGTTATTGGATGTGCATGCGATTAAATATAATTACCAGAGACGAGACGAATGGAGCTATTATGGAACCAATCCTTGCGCACATGGACGCTGAACCAACACCGACGTTGCGCACCACAGTCGGAAACAGTTCTCCGCTAAACAGATATATGGTTGGAAAAGCTATCGATGATCCGACTATTCCCAATGACGCTAATATGAACTTAAAATGTTCCACTTCGGAATCTGCTTGACACACGTAAAAGTTATTTATTAGATATTGATTACACAAATCATACATACAAATTATATTTAAGTAAGTCCAATATTGAAGTTAGCCGTTAGGGATATCTAAATGGTATCAATATTCATAAATCATAATTCAATATATTTACGTAGTCAACTATTATAATATATTTGCTATCAAAAATAAATAAATTTATAATTTTATAAATGATACATAATATTATTATAATAATATGATACATTATATCTTATGATATATGATACTCGTATATATGACTGACTGAAGGGTAAAATAAAATCTATAAATAAATGTATTAAAATACATTTATTTTACATTTTTTAAACTGTTTTCAATCATGTCATGAAATCACCTTTTTATCAATATATCGACATCAAATTAAATTTGGACATCCCTATAATTGAAGTGCTTCTGTTGATTTGATGGTAAAATTCGACCCTGTGATGAGTTGAGCATTAATGTCAACAAAACACCAATAAAACATCATGTGTTGATGTAGTTATGTAACTATGTAAGTATACTAAAGCCCTTAGAAGTTGGAATTCTGCATTAGTAATATTTATTGATATTATTGATGTTCCTATTGAATTCATACTATAAAAAAACGATTTAAGGTATTCCAGCAATTCTTATAACGGAAAATACGTGCCTATAATGTTTACTAATAATTTCATGCCATTTCCACAGTACTCTTGAGAGTTTATAGCCTACTTAGCCTAGTATAATCATCGACACATTAACCCCATGGTCAAAACTGTTTGTATCATAGCTGTATTCGATMGAGTATAGCCATTAGCCATGTTTTATGCTTCTTTAGCTACATWATATAATGAATGATTATATATCGCAGTACGSTACCCATTCATCTACAGAACATCAGATTTAGTAAGTAAAATATTTTTTGTTTTAAGTAATATTGTACTTGAATACTTGATTTAGTACCTACGATAAAAGTTTAAGTTTTTAACCATAATATACTTAGGTATTTTTCTATGATAATATTTATAACGGCCTCATATTATTATTGGATTGGATGATGTGAAATTATTCATGATATGTTATGAATATAATAGTATATTGTTTAACATCATCACGCACCATTATTTTTGAYACTATAATACTATATTATCTCAAAATAATGTTGTGTTTTTTTGTTTTAATTGTGTGATATACTTAAATGTTATAATACAGCTTGTGCCCATTAAGAGTGTTTATTGTAGGTAGGCAAGTGCACCCAATTAGTATTAAATAATATCATTGTCGGATCACTCACTCTGAGGTAAGAATGTGATCAGTATGCAAGCCATGGCCGTCACCAGGTTAGCAGACAGCAAAGTGTTTCTCCGGCCGAACTTCTCCATCAGGTATATGCACAGGAATGCGCCTGGCAACTCGATGAGACCAGACGAAGCGACGTTGATGAAGATGTTGCCACCGATCTCACCCATGTACTGAGCCAGACCGTAGAAGCACAGCCCACACACCATCCAATTGAAGAACACGGCCAGCGTCTTTTTCCGCAAGTTGGGCGTCCGGAAGAGGTCGAACAGATTTCCTTTGTTCTCTTCGCTGCCCTTTCCGGTCTGACTGTTCATCAGCGACTTTTCGAACTCGCCGTCTAGCTTCCGGTTGTTCCGTGAGGCGCCTGTGGTCAGTATTTTACGCGCCTGCTTTTCCTTGCCCATTGCCAACAACCAACGCGGGCTTTCCGGTATTATCCTTCACAGTAAAATATCTTATGTATAGGTGGTTATAACTTTTAGATACCTACCTCTTACAAATATCGCGTGTTTGGGATTATAGCGTGGTGTTTGCGAAAAAAAAATTCTCGTAGGTACTTACCACCAATACGTGAAAAAAAACAATGAGGGCAGGGTAATGGCCAATTGAAACTGTCTCCAATTTCTAATGAAATACGAAATGAGAGCCATGCTCATGTGACCCAAATTGAAAGGGATGTGATGCAACGTGCTAACAACAGTTCGCCATTTCCCGCCTACAACTTCCATGGCTGCCATTCATAAAAAAAAAAAAAATGATTTACAATATTACTTTTAAGAATATCTATTAAAAATGATTAATTATAGAGTTGATATAGTATTATGCCATCATTTCTGAACATTTTAAATTTCATTTCAACTGGCTTTAAATTAATTTAATACGCACAAATAATTGATAGTTTAATGTGTGACACGTCTAGTATCCACATAATTAATTTAGTATAAGTATGTGTACTTGGGAAATTGTGAAGGTTGACCTAGACGCTAGACAATTGATTGACAAGACAATATTATAACAAAATATGCCGGGTTATAGGATCAGTTAGGCTATATAGGTTTACTATGTAAATATATAGCTGTGGATGATGACAAAACCCTATTAATTTTAATGTAGGTATGCGTATAACAACTTAAATGTTTGGAAAGATTTATAAAAACTAACATAGGTATATAAAGCTTACATAAATCAGATACGCCATTCAATAAAATTACCAAATATTTTTAATTATCATTATTCTATATTTAAATTTAAAACCTTCAAATACTTTAAAAAAAAATTATTTTGAGATTAAAAATAAATGTATATTATTATGTTTATTGACTGTTTACAGTATTTATGCCCCCATTACTACGTAGATACTAAAATGTAAAATCCAAATATTCTAAACACTAGGTCAGAAGATTATGGTTTTCCGGAACCTAAAAATAAATTATTTTATTATGTGGCTTACCACGACCGTCCACATAATTGTTTGTAATTTTTCGGTATTCATGGTCAATTACCCAAACAAACATTTATTTTTTTATTTTGCTATTACAAGGTTGGTTGCATTAAGTTTTAATGGTACATGAGACGAATACACTATATTATTTTGTATTTAAATTATTATTTCACTTAATACTTTTTAGAATGTAATACATATCATTAATAGTTAATTAATTCCGGAAAATTGAATTGTGGTTTGTAGGTTTTGCAACGGAATTTCAAGTAAGCCAATTTTATAACACGCTATATTCTAATCTTTATAAATAAATTATATGCTTAATACTCACTTAAAACGAAGCTACTAATCATTAGACCTCCAATGGCTAACGCAGTCGCAAATCTAAGTGGCAGGAATAGCTCGTACCAAGGAGCTAACGACGTGCCAACCCCGGCAACAAGTAATAAGACAATAGCGAACATCATTGGTAATTTTCTACCATACCTAAGAACATAACCTTTTTTTATTACAAACGTGTTGAGCATCATTCTTTTTCGGTCAATTAATAGGCAATATTATTATAATATGTATTTATTTTTTTTTTTGGCTTATTCGAGGCCGTTTAGAATTTAGACCCACTGTCTCTTCCACAGTGTCTCGCCATTCATATCTATCCATTGTTGACCTTTTCATCATCTCTGATTCCTTGTAGCTTAAAATATATTCTCTTACTAGGTGTCACATCACCGTCGTCTTTGACGTTATCTTTGTCTTGTTCCATCTGGCTTACATCATCGTGATCGTATGAATTATCCTGTCCTCCACTTTCCAGCATGCCCTGCCTAGTTTGTCCCCGAAATTTTAGAAAACCAGCATAATCTGCAGGTTCTAAATATTAGTTCTACGTAGTACTTCGGTTGTATTCGTTATTTTCAGTCCTTCACTAAATTACCTTTTAAGACTGAATATCCTCCTTAATTATTATACATTAGGTAGGTAAATTAATACATTATGTGTAGTGCGTTACCGACATTATGCTCAATATCTAATATACAGGGTGATTATTTTAAGTGGGTACACTAATTATCTCRAAAAGTATTTACTCTTTTCAAAATATTTTTTCTTATTGGTTTCAAGTTGTTAAAAAACCAACGTTTTTATTAAAAAATTATATTTTTTATCCTTATCATTTTTGTGGTACCCCCTATGGTCATACCCCCCTCTCCCATAGAAAAACCATTTGACCATCATTGTTTAGTTATAGAATAAAAAAAGGGAAGCACTCTATAATCTATAGGTACATATAAATATAATTAAATTACAAGTGAAATAACCACGATTCGTGTCAAAAATAATATTATTTTTATACTTAAATTTTTAGACTATAAAATATAGTATACGTACTTGTCAGAGAACATACCGAACAACACGTTTCCGATGAGTACTCCCAACATAAACACTGACTGGGCGATGTTGGACAGTTGAAACCGCCCGCACACCAAGTCCCACTATGGAACAATAACAGAAACCGAAATATATAATATAATTGTAAAATAAAAAAAACTACCCAAATTGTTCCAGGACGATTTAAATATGTAATCATGTGTAAAGTATTATAAGACAGAAAATAATAAACCTACAACACTATATAGGCTGTGTATACTTATAACTACATATACCTAGAGTACCTACGTGCAGACAACGGTTTTGGAAGTTTTCTATCCTTGGAAATTTCCCCTCTGACCCTAATACGTTCGTCAATCCTATCAATCCCTAGTCCCTATACACTATAAACAGTAATAAAAATTAAAAATATCAATAAAACTTTAACATTTTGTTTTATACATACCAACATATCAATACATATATAAGTGCAACTCATAAATGAGGACTTTTAAAAAATCCCTAGAGTTTAAATTTGGCACTCCCAAAACTATGACCCATATTGGCTTTTTAATATAAGGATGTTAATCAGAAATTCAGAAATTGGTTATCATAGGTTTAAGTCCAAACCATAAATAACTTTATTGCTTTGACGTATTTTTTATTTTGTTTGAAAAGTGATATGATGTGTCATGTATTACAGTACACCCAACATCTTGAATTACTTTTATTAAATAAAACGTTATTTAATATATTAGGAAGTCATCCACCATACTTGAACCCCCTCCCCGGATAATTTTTTTCTAATAGTTATACCTATATGTGTTTCTGGTGGGTAGGATGCACTGCGTGTTTAGATTTAGATTCGCAATCAGTATTTTCGGTGTTTTACACTGTACCTCAGTGATTATGGTTTCCTGGAACACGGACCTGTCGTAGACGAATTGATAGCATGGTGCCACTTCGTGTGTAACTGGGTCGAGAGAATTGCATCTGTCGGTCACGTTGAACAATGTTGTTGACTCATCGTTCCCGACATCACACTTAAACGGCGMTCTGGCAGCCAAAAATATAATTGCCAACTGGTGCCAGGCGATTGGAAACTTTAATAGGGATAGAGCGAACGTGATCCAAAACTGCCACCAACCGAAGTCACCCAGTGCCGCTTGCACCGGATCACTATCTGACTTGACAACGGTCGACGACTGTTTGTTAAGGCCACGATCTTTTTCACCACTGCTGACGTTTGATTGTGGCTGTTTCGCATCATTCATCACTAAGAAAATATAAAAAAATTATGGATCGATGTATARCAACAACTGAAATAGATGTGTCTAGAAATTTAAAAATACTTAAAGCATATTCGACAACAACTAACAGTAAATTCTTACTTATTCAATGTTTTTATTATTGCTCTCTTAAATTATTTATCGGTATGTATTTTCAATACTTGTATACTATTATATCATACTGACCTACTCAACCACACTATATTATCTGCATGTATAGTTTGTTGCATTTAAGATATTCAATATAAATATTTATAAGTTATAACATAATTATTACATTTTAAATTTTGTTTGCCTTTGTGTTAACTAAATATATTCTCTTATTCATTCTTTATTATTTCACTTATATCAAAAGTAATTTCAATTTTTTTTTTTTAAATAATAATAATGATTATAATAGTCTTTATTAACGGAAATATAATTCCAACATAGGATTATGTCCAAAAATTTCATATTTTTTGATATCAAGTAATTATTACTGGAATACCTACCTATATTTAATAGCATGTACCAAATGTTATTAATTTGTAATACACTCTGTATTCCTGTATACAATATACATAATGTAGGTCCAATTCACACAATATATCCCATTTTCCTTACCATATTACTAATAAAATCATGTTATTTAAGTACAATGGTCTCGAGGCGTGTCAGTGTGTCCACTGTGCATTTAAGTTTAAAACACAATGACTATCGAAATTATGAAAACATAACATTATTATTTTGAATACCTAGTTGATACTATACGAGACAAAAGGATATTCAATATTATTTTATACTTTATTTTAATATCAGAGTTCTATTATCGATTATTGGAATATTTGACACTTTTATCGATTCTTTGTCACGAGTCATCATGATATTGTATACAGATAGTTTATAGAATCATTAATAGTACTTTACTGTAAATGGTTAGGTCATTGTTATAGGTAAATTTAAATGTTATAAGCGTAACAATATATTATCCACTATTAAACAAATTATTCATAATAATGTATATAAATTAATTACATTTTATATACATGACTAAAATTAAATGTTTCCGATCATAACTATCTCCTTATTAAGAAATAATACCCTTGACGTGGTTCTGAATAAACCATTCGTGTCAACATAGTGAATAAGCAATAACTAATAAGATATAAGATCCATAAAAATTATATTTTATATTATATAAATTATAATGATTAACAATTTTATAACTAACTAACTATATAAATGTAAAATGAAAATTTTTGTACGGGGTAAACCCTGGAATTACTTATCAGATCTTCTTGATTTTTTTTAAATGAAAGAATGCGGTTGTGGAGCAGCTTTTTGTCATACATTTAGCACAATAAAGTTTCTGGGGTAAGAGGATGACCATACTAAAAAATGCAATATAGTACCCCTATCTTTCCACCAAAAAATTTACTAAATATTAAATATTTTTGTACATAGCAAGTTTGCTATTGGTTTCAAATCTGAGGTTGTGAATTATTTAATTATTGATTAATTATTTCGCGTTTTCGCAATATTCATCAACATTTTTGCACTTCATTAGGTTATCACAATTGGCTTGATTAGCCGGGTGTTAAACGACGAATTAAACATAAATTAGAAGTTTAGTTTGTAGAAAGTGCACACTATTATATTAATTATTTCTATCTATACATATTTATTTAATACCAATTCTATTATGGCTTATAATATTATAAACAAACTTGTAAATAATTAATTTGATATTTTAGGATAATATAATTAATCTATTTAATCTTATTATTATTATTATTATTATTATTATTATTATTGTGTCCAAGCGGTAAAAATGCATTTATACTCTCTTTATCTCTACGCTTATTATAGCCAATATTGTTATGTTTATCAAGTTCTCGGCTGTACAATGTAAACGATACTGTGTTTAAGGTGCATAACTAGTGTACCTATTATGTTTACTACCACAGTCACAGGTTTAAAGTTATCGATTATAATTTTAATAGTAATATAATTTCTTAGTAATTTATATACATTTGAATATGTGTAAATACATATATATATATTTATAAAATACACACACACACATATATATATATATATATGTGTGTGCGTGTTATAATGTTAAAGGTATAATATGTGCAATAAGCAAATTTGTTTAAGCTATAAATATTATAGTACCTATTCACTAATAGCTAATAATAATAATATTAATAATTAAAATTTGTAAGCGAATTGATATATTTATTGAACATTGTTATTTTTTATGCTAACTGTTAAGCGTATTTTGTATCTAAATATCTTTGATGAGTGACAAATGCTTACAACGATGTTATATCAAATGAAAAAAGCAGATACATGCTGTGCTTACGAGTAGAGGGTCAAAACTAGAGTGAAAAAATCAAGCCTCCATTTGCTCCCTACCATAAAGATGTTTTAGTTATGGAAAAAAAATTGAATAATTAAAACTAAATTAATAGTATATTATTATTTTTATTTATTATTATACTTATTTTATACCTTAATACAAGGTTTTCTACTGTAAATAATGATGTTATATCAATCCTTACGACGCGATATCCTCAAATTAAGTAAGACGTAAACGCTAAAAAGGACAATTTTATTAATTATTATTATTAGATCGACTTTGTATTATTCACGACAATAATTCATGTTATTATAAAATATAATTTCTTGTTATTATCTCCCACATACTTACATAGTTACATCTATAGACTATATTCTATTATTTGAATTTTAACTCAATCAATTACATTTTATTTTTCCTACTATTATACAGGTACAGTAGTTATTTTTGTATACATTTAGTAGCTTATGCAATTATTATGTGATATTACTTTTTCCTTCTTGTCTATAAATGTTAATTTCTAAGTACGTTGCCAAACGTGATTTTTTTGTCTATGTTCTTTAAATTGCATCATATTTTATTTTTTTAATAAGAAAAAAATTCATTCAAATATAAACGTATTTATTTAATATAAAATAAATTACATCGTATGCGAATCTCGAATGTAATAGTGAAAGGAGCAAAATACCCATTAGTCATTTGGGTTTATGCAAACGTAAACAAAAGTGCATTTAGAATAGACAACAGTAAAACTAACAATACTACCAAGTTGATGATAATGGTATTATATTGTATTTTATCCATCAAACTTAATACCAACTAAACTAATAATAAACTAACTTGATGTTAGACTAACTATTAGACATTAGCTAATACCAACTAAATAGGTATAGGTTAATATAAATTGAATAAGTATTTCTGATAATTCATTTTAACGAAAGACACTAATTATTTCAAAAACTATAAAATAAAAATATGTCTTTTATACGATTGTAAGTCGTTTAAAATAATTTTTTCTAAAAAAATATATATATTTACTTTTTTAATGACAACCTGAATTTATGGTTCCTATTTCAAAGGAAAATATTTTTAAGAGAACTTAAATGTATAAAAATATAGAAAATTTTGAACGAGTAGTTTATGAATTACCTATAAGTATTTACATTTGAGTTGTGCGTATCACAGTGATGGTGCCTATACAGAGACTATAGAGAGCTACTTTTCTATCCACTTTTTCACTCATCTAAATTTTAAATACTTATAAAGACATACAGTAGTTATAACTAATGAACTACTCGTCCAAAATGTAATCTTTGTTTATCGAAAATATTCAAAATACTTCAAAAATAAAAATAAGCGTATTATTATAGTACGTTAAATAATATCCGTTAACAATAATATACCTAGGCTAAACTTAAGTAAAGTATTTAAGTACCTATATTTAATGTGTTTAAGTTGTAGAATCAATTCAAAATGAGAAATCAACTACAACAAACAAAGTTCGGATTGCTATTTTTTTTATATGCATGAAAATTGTTTATGTGACTACTCTGAACATATTTTAATAATAGGTAACTAATTTTTATGATATTATTTACTTAAGCTAACTTAACTGAATAAGTATAATACTAATAATACTATGACAATAATAAAAAGAATATAACTTTGTTTACTGTACATGATTTTTATAAATACCTTTAAGTATTAATGTGTAATAATACTCTAATGGATCGAAGATATTAAAAATTTGATTTCGCTTATTGTATAGACAATAGTCTAAATTGTCTAAATATAAATATATTTTCTTATTATGTATGTATTATATAACAGATCAGTCAACTCGATGTAACAATACAAGATATAATTTTGTATTGTTTTGTTTATGATTTGATTATAATTTGTATAAATATAGCTAACATATGTAAGTATCTACCGACTACCAATATACGCACGTCTATACAATTTTCAACTAGTTGAACCAAGTAAATAGGAAGTCGTTAGTACACACTTAAAACTAAAAAAATTAATCAATAGGTTTTTATAAAGAAAATAACTAACATTTTTATTAGGATGGCATTTAATTACTCTAAGTATTTAGTTTAGAGTGATACTAATGAGGTAAACCAACTAAATTAAATCAAACCTACACCTGCTCTATAATCTACGAGTATGTATAGGTTTTTAACACATAGGTGCATGACGTTTTAAATAGCTATCGCAAAAATACATTTTCATTTTTTAAAATCATATTTCAATAATATTATCACGTTGGATTAATATCGCCTAACTGCAGATAGCTGCAAATGTTGTATTCCATTGTATTGTGAAAGTAAGTGTGTATATTACAATAAAACAATACATTCAAACATTTCAAACTCATCCTCATTTTATACGCAGTATATTTTACCGACTGTATACATTATACACATTACACATTTATACATATTATTCACCTATATATATATATTTGTATTATTCCTATGGAATTCTCTTATGTAAAGTCTTTACCAACATTGAATGCCCGCCCGTCATTCAGATATAAAATACGTGAACTGCGTTGAATTTGAACTGTGTATTATGCCATTATAAGACATCGGTAAAGCCGGTATAGACGTAGAGTTTATGAATGTACACAACTCGTTCGGATATACTTATACTCATTTATTAATATATTTGATATTKGATAGAGCACGAAATTCTCAGGTCAATTTAACAAACAAATAGATACAATATATGGTGTGAGATCGCGTGAAAAAAAATATTAAAATATGGCCATATAGTGATATAGTATGCACATTACATTATATTATTATCTGCTTATGTTTGCGATTTAAAAATCACATCATCAATACATTGTTGTGATCAAAAATATATATTTCCACAAAACGATTTATCAAATATCCAAATCATGAAAAAGCAGAAATGTTTAATAAATCCTAAAAGTATAGCAAAAATATGTTTAACTTTGAAAGAAAACAATCAACAAATATCTTWTATATATAACTTACACGATGCATGTAAAATATATTTGTATTCAACAATTTTACGCATAAAAAATATTAGCCTAATAATATTAGTCCCATTATTAACCTAACCTAACCATTATTATTTGTGAAAAATGTAGTTTAGTACCTATGTGGCTATGTTGCAAGTACAACATACACATGTGTGTCATTATTTATTATTTTAATACCGAATTCCAGTTATCGGCAATTGGAACACGATAATTGATCAAGTTGGTAATTACTAATAAGTACTAGGCAGAGTATATATTTAATAATTACCTTTACGGCTATGCGTATTTGCATAAGAAAAATCAACCGGGTGTATCCCTATAGATACGAATAACGGAATAATAACCGATATTTAAAGTATAGTTTCATTTCGTGGGAATAAATAAAAAATTATTTAAATTTAACTGTGCCTACTTAAATAATATTTTGATTTCTTAGTACAAAAAAAAAATTAAATTATTATATGATTTTTAGATGGATCGCGAAAATTAATTATTATTTATTTCTAAACATAGTAACCATACTTCACAGGAACCTACGTAGCTGACGGTAAAATTAATGAATAAAATAACCAAATTATACATACTTTTAAATTGAAAACTATCGTTTTTCCAGCATGCAAATCGAAGTGTACAAATTAAATCTAACCGACTTAGAATTGGCCACGAGAGTTACGCATAGATACCTAATGGAAGAGACCGGACCTCCTACATGCCGCTCTTGCAATTCTATCATAACAGACAACAGTTAAATACATCATCATTCACAGTCAAATCTTCACGGAGGCCAGAAAAGAATGCGAAATACTAGACAATTTATACGAAGCTATAGGACCCTATGCTGACATAGAAAAAATAATCACATTTAATAAAAAAATTGAAATGTATAACTTAATTTAACTTATTTTACATTATTTTTAAACTTCATTGTAAAAATCTCTTATGTACATAACTATTCAAACTAATTATAAGCTAAAAACTATGATGTTGATGCTGTAACAATAAAAAAAAAAAATTAAACTCTCCATCTATAATAGTATATTTGACGTGCACTAAGTAGGTAAGTGAGATCACCGCAAGACATTACGCGTGTAATGTAAAAAAAAAGAACCTAAATAGAACCTTATTATTATTTTTATCATTTTTCTTTTGAGAACGTCGAATATTAATTTACCGAATTCAAGATTTTCAAGGTTTTGCGAAATATGTTTAAAAAAAAAACAATAACAACAAAACAAGCTACTAAACTATATAATGATAATAAAAATGCGTAATAGTATATTATCTATAATATGTATTATGTATATTATCCATATATATATATATATATATATATATGTATATTGCAAACAAAAAACGAAGATAATGTAAACGGGGACGCGATGTGTGTACGTATAATAAACGAAAACCGCATAAAAGATTGCGTCCAAGCACAATATAATGATATGGACTATGTTTCATAGCTAATATATAGCATTAAATAACATATATTATGTGTGTGTATTTAAGGGATACGCCGTATAACCTATATATATTTAGACCATGTATGCGTATTTATATAGTACAATATACCTATATACATACTATACGTGACAAAAAGACTCGTAGGTACAACAAAAATAATAGAGTTGTATACAAGTTACCTACAACAGACCTTGTTATATATTATACACACACA